CTGGGTTTCCCTCTTGGCTTTCAAACGTGTCACGATATGCCTTGGGAAAATCCTGCGGAAGAGCTGGAGCCCCACCGGGGCCATTCCCTGAGCTCCTCTGATCTGGTGGGGGTGAAAAATAGAGATCTTTAGGGCAAATTATAGGATATTCCAGGCTCTGTCCCCTTCCATCCGCGAGATGTTTTGCGGCAGGGGGATGGCTGAGCCCTGGGTGACGGGGACGGTCCCGGTAGCGTCCCTCTGCTTGTCCCCAGATGTCACCTTCGTGCTGGATGACGGTGCTATCAGTGCCCACAAGCCCCTGCTCATCTCCAGCTGTGACTGGATGGCCGCTATGTTCGGTGGCCCCTTCGTGGAAAGCTCCACCAACGAGGTGAGGAAGGGACCTAGGGGTTTGTCCTGGGAGGGTGGGACAGTTGGGGACGGCCATGGGGTGACGGCTGGTGCGTGTCCTGCAGGTGGCCCTTCCTTACACCAGCAAGAGCTGCATGCGACAAGCCCCTGCTCATCTCCAGCTGTGACTGGATGGCCGCTATGTTCGGTGGCCCCTTCGTGGAAAGCTCCACCAACGAGGTGAGGAAGGGACCTAGGGGTTTGTCCTGGGAGGGTGGGACGGTTGGGGACGGCCATGGGGTGGCGGCTGGTGCGTGTCCTGCAGGTGGCCCTTCCTTACACCAGCAAGAGCTGCATGCGGGCGGTGCTGGAGTACCTCTACACCGGGCAGTTCAGCTCCAGCCCCGACCTCGACGACATGAAGCTCATCATCCTCGCCAACCGCCTCTGCCTACCGCACCTGGTGGCCCTCACTGGTGAGGATGGTGTCCCTGGCTGTCCCCAAGCTTGGTGGCAGGGCACTATGCCCGCTTGTCACCCCGTCCCCACTGCCCCGTAACCCTGCGTGTCCCCCACAGAGCAGTACACCGTCACCGGGCTGATGGAGGCGGCGCAGATGATGGTGGACATCGATGGGGACGTGCTCGTGTTCCTGGAGCTGGCTCAGGTAGGACAGGACCCTGTGCCCGCAGGGATGGGGATGGGGTGAAGTGCTGGGTGATGCCACGCAGAGGGGTCTGGCAGTGCCGAGGGACGACGGTGTCCTGGCAGAGAGGACAACCAGGTCTGGTCTTGGATGTCCATGGAGGAATAGGGCAAATTCCTCCTGCTTCCCCGGTGATCCGGGCTCTGACGTGGGCTCCATCTCTTCCAGTTCCACTGCGCCTACCAACTTGCCGACTGGTGCCTCCATCACATCTGCACCAACTACAACAACGTCTGCCGCAAGTTCCCCCGGGACATGAAGGCCATGTCGGGAGGTGAGCGGGGACCAGGGTGGGATGGAGGATGGGGTCCCGGTGGTCCTGGCACTGCCCTTTCCCTGAAGAGAACCAGGAGTACTTCGAGAAGCACCGCTGGCCGCCGGTGTGGTACCTGAAGGAGGAGGATCACTACCAGCGGGCGAAGAAGGAGCGGGAGAAGGAAGACTACCTCCACCTCAAACGGCAGCCCAAGAGGCGGTGGCTCTTCTGGAACGCCTCCTCCTCCCCTTCCTCCTCTCCTTCATCGGCCGCAGGCACAGGCCCCACTTTCCCCCCCC